AGTTACAAGTAAGTAGATTTTATTTCACCAGGGAATTTGTGTTAGTTTTGAGTTTTTGCTGTCAACAGTTCATCACTTTTGATATAAAATGGTCTGTTGTCAGAAATTCGCTACAATGCCTGACACGATGAGAAAAGTTTGCGTTCTATTTTTATCGGTTGCATGAATCGTAGTATGGTTTATATCACTCAGTTAATATTTTTTTTCGAGTTTCAATATATTTTTCGTGCAAGATTCATGGTGTGTTTTTCTATTTGTTGCTGTCAAGTTTCACAGATAAATTTCTGTATACTATTTGGTTACTATTACAGTGACAGTATATAGATTGCATGATTCACCGATACTGATGTGTGTGGAGAGTAAACTGAATCCTCAATAATGTTTATTCGTAACATAAATGTATTCGAATGTACCATGGGAATATTTGTTCATACGTTATTAATTAATTAATGGGGTGGAGAAATGTCGGAGGGAAGCAGAACATTTTTGCTTTGAAAGAGTTTCTTGCAAATATGTTATTGCAAATTAAAAATTTAATACGAAATTAAAAATTAATTCAGTAAGCTCCACATGTGGAAAGTGGAATTCATTAATATATTTCTAAGTCATTTAAACTTACAGTGCATCTATATTCAATCATCATTAAGCCTGAGAACTATCAGAAATACATAATTGATTTATGAAACATTTCATCTACAGACATGAACTCAATAGTATACACATAAATTACATTTTACATTTCCATAAGCTGTTGAATATTTATTGTTATATGACTGATATAATTACTTATAAGTTGCTCACGAACATTTGCAAAATAAATGTCTCGATTATCAGCAGATAACAAACGCATGCCATTACAACGTTCCACGAATTATCCTGCAGTGTACAAATTTCACTGAATGATACGCTATCAAAGATTGTAATCATTAAGTAACACGCAATAAATTAACATAATATTGATTACAAACGATACGCGAAGTATATATAAATAAAATTTTCTGTTATCATTCATTTGAAACATGCTCCATATTTTTAAGTGCAAACAGTATTTTCCGGTTTACTTTCGGCATACTGTCTTCTGTGCCGATCAATGTTCTAAAATAGATTACTACGAACCTAATTATACTTGATGCAACGGCTCTGTGATACCATAACTTCATTAATTTTATTTTCATCCATGCATTATAGCAACTTTCCTTTACTGAATTATTAAGCCGCAACCGGTTCATTTAATTTACATCGTTACCATTATATTTAATGTATATATTCCAAGAAATATTACGTCAATTATTTCATTAAAAATGATTGCTAGTATCATCATACTACATAAATAATTGTACTATCAATAAAAAAAACAACAAATTAATTTTTGATAACACTCAAAACTTGTAAATATATAGAATACTAAACGTGAAGTTTTTTTTAAACCGGACAGTAAACTTTTGTGGCTCCAATAAAAATCTTGAACCAAAAATAACTTTCTTCTATACCTCATAAACGCCATAAAGGCCCTAATAAAAACACTATTTATCAATATGTCTGCAGATTTTTTTCTATGCCTCATCCCCTTCCTACACGTTGTCCATTACTTTTACACCTTTATATCACTCTCCATTATCACTGTCATCTTCACCACAAACATTTCACTCAAAAAAAGAAACGAACATTCATTTCAAGAATAAACGTTCTCCAGAAACATCACTGAAAACACAATTTCATTAAATCAATCAAAACAGATGCAACCCAAAAATTAGATTCACGCGAATCCCCGCAACGAAAATACTTCAAAAACCCCAAAGCAATAAACGCCCACATCATTGAGAACACAACGTCGCACGATGGAACGCACTTGGAAAGAACGGCAGACATTCTGGACACAGCGACAACCTCGTCCCGCCGCCCCATAAATTTCGATTTGCAAGAAATTGCAGAAAGCGGAGAGCAGGCCCGAAACCCCGAGACCCAAGGAAAACTTTAATTTTCCTTGTCTTAATCTCAGTAATTTGATCCCGTTGCTTTAGAAGTTCCGTCCCGCAATGAATGTTAATCGGGTTATTCGCGGCTCCGCCCCACAAAAGCGATAAGCAGAAAACATGCTTGCCCGCCTTCTCCCCTCGAAACACCCCCGCTCGCTGCCCTCAGCCCGCCGTCGGAAGAATCAGATAACGTCACCGGTGAATATTAAAGGTCGACGGAAGGATGGTACGCGGAGGCAGTCCATGGCCCCAGTGTTATAAAATCACGGACTTTGAAGCAGTGTAAATATTACTGGGATGAATAATTCGCGGCGAGCGTTTCCCGGTCTCGTAGCCCGCGGCTGGGTTCCAACCCCGGTCGGAGCACGGGGTAACAAGACCGCAACAAGGAAAAACGATATTTAGGTGGGCCGGAAAAGCAGCCGGCGCTAGTAGACTGTAACGATCCGACGGTAAGGCGGAGAGGAGAGGGTACGGTACGGCACAGGACGAAGAGGGGGACGGTTCCTTAAGCCCTTGTTTAAATTTCCTATAGAATAACCCTTCGCGGGGAGTGCAACTAGGAAATTTAATCACCGTATAGCAGCTCTCGGTTCACCCCGGGCTACGAAACTAGCAAATTCAGTAACATCTTCCAGAAGTTCGTTATCCCTACCCAGAGCTGCGGCCGCGGGTTTCGACTTCGGTTTACTCGGATACCGTACCGGCTCTCGGTATCGAGACCAACCGATGAAAAACAGGGACCGCCGACGAATTTATTTCCTTCCCCCTGCCGCTTACCGCGCACCTGTTTGCGATTGCTCCTTTGGCGAACGCGAATATCGCGCCGCGGCGAGATTGGATTCGGTTGTTCCACGGCGCAGCACAATACGCTCCGTTTAAGGAAACGTTTGACTCGCTTATTCGGCGACCGGGGCGAGCGTAATTGGTTATGGAAGTGGGTGTTTCGCAGAATTGGACGAGCCTGTCGATCCGTTGGTGATGTCTGACTTACGAGGAGGCGAAGGAAATTTTCTTGAATGTCTGGGAGACTGAATAAAAATGTTTATTACGGTAATGCATTCGAAAATTTCTGGTGATTATTTTGATATGGTAATCTGTGTGCTTAGTAATTTGTGCGTGGAAAGTGTATAATTGAGTTGAGGATGAACTGGATGTTTCGGTGAATGGAGTGTGAATAACAAATAAAGAAAGCTTCCCTCTGGAGTTTTCTAGTTAACCTTACAAATTTTATACGAGTCGTATTATTCAAACACAATGGACGAGGAGATTAAACCCATTGTATTATATTAAAGTACTGTCTAAAAAGAAATTCGGTGGTGTAAATAGAATTCAACTGATAAATCTTGAATACTCTTGTTCATCCTTTATTTCATTTAATGAGATATTCTTCATTGATCAATCCAGATCAGATATTGCCGACATCAAAGAAATAGAAAACAAAAGTGGCCTGAACCAGTTATCCAATTAGCCAATATTCCAATCCGCCCGATTCATTTCCAGATATTTCATTAGTCAATTACATGCCGGACGTCAGAAAAAGTAACAAAGAGAACTAGTGCACGGCCCGCAGAAAACATATTAAAACCGAGGCAGAAATGGTCGAGAGTGATTGGAATCCTTCCGGTTTCCGATTAGTAAAATAAACGAGAAAAATCGCATTTTATTAATCGGTCCGGGATTCTTTTTACGACAAAGATACATTTATAGATAAATCCCCCGATAACCATCGGGCCTGGAAGTAATTGACACCGTCGGCAGTCTTTCGATGGAAATCAAGCAGAAAATACGAGGACAGCTGTATAATTATACGATATACCGGTTGTCATTTGCCAGGCACATATGCACGTATCTATGTAGATAAATTGGTGCGCACAAGCCTGGACCAAAATTCGAGATACAATGGGAGGCAGTGATACTGCTAGCTGAAAATAAATCGAAAACGTGAAATTGAATTTCATATTAAGCTTCGTTTCCGTGAAAATCCTATTTGAAAATTCGTCAGGCTCTCGTGCACTTTAGTGCCATTTATATGTTTAATCAATGTTACATACACGACGTCGCTAAACCGACGACACAGTTCGGAAAAGGGTGATCCTGTATGAAAAAATACTTCGAAAATGCGCAAAATCTTTTTTCCTCTTTGCGGCAAGCTTTAGGGTTCGAAAAATTCCATTTCCACGTCTCATTGAACGTGTATGGTTTGATAGTGCGCTGTTGATATTCTGTATGAATGTTGCTCTGTGGTTTTACTTTCTTGTAAGTAGAATTGACTATAAGAAATACTTCAACTGAACAGTGAATACAAATAACTTATAGTTATGTTATATTAAGTATAAACACATAATTATTCTAAATGAAAAATATAGTACACTGAAACTCTAGAACAATTACGAAACCGTATAACTCTGTTAGAAAGTAGTTTATTTCCCTGAAAAATCGCTACAACTCAAATGCCTAGGTATAAAAGTTAATCACCTCTAAATAAATTTACCAGTTCAACCCATTCGTCTCGAATGGTACACATAAGTACCACGAACATTCTAAATTACCGGAATACTGGGAAACGCCTTAAAGACAAAGGAAAATTGTACCACACGGGGATCTTTGTTTATGCCTAATAGCTTAAGTACTAAT